GAAATGGTTGACTCAAATGTTAAAATGGACCCGAGATACCACAGTGGAGATTTAAGTTTGTTAACTTTTCTTTTAAATTATTTAATCTAACTTATTTTCAGATGTTTTTAATATTTCTTTTGAAAAAAAAGGGGGAAATTTTCACTATTTAGAACATAAGAAATGTTTAATGGGAGCGATGTTTTAAAGTAATTAAGAAACTGTATTATATTCAGTTTGTTGTTTCACTGATACAGCATCCTTGTCTAGTTGCACTTTAAAAAAAACTCATGTTTTAATAGAAATTACTTATTAGTTGTTTTTATTTTTGCTCTGAACCCAGAGCAGAAATACATCATTACTGCAGACTTTCATTTGTTCATTTTATCGCGAGTCAYATTGTTATCGCAGTGTTATATACAAATGTTATCATACATCACAGGTTTTCCAAATATTGTGCAGTCCTAGTATTAGTTCAGCATTGAGTGCAAGACTGATTTACCTGTACAGTTTTCTTTGCTTTCTTTGACAGGGATTGCTTGCGTGGTGGATGGTAGTGTGCCCTCCTCACAGTTGATGCAGATGGGAAAGGATTCTGTCTTGTAAATACTGGTGCACTAAAACAAAAACACAGCTGTAACTAAATGTAGTAGAACAGTAACTACAGTTTAAAGCGAAATGTATTCATAAATCTCACCTGGATTTCATATCAACTTCGGAACATCAGAGGTGACACATCAATAAACACTAGATAAATAGAGAAGAGGCTCTCTGATACACCTGATCCTAACTAATCACCTGGATTTGCGTTAACTGGACGTGTCTTGTTTGTTGACTGAGTTATCATGAAACAAACACCAGGCCACGAATTGTCTTTTAAACTTCAAATTACACCGCTACGTTTCGCACGTTTAATACCTATTTAACCAAAACTTCTTACCTTGCCAGAAACAGAAAACATACAACTTTACTTAACATTTCTATGTATTTAACTACAAAAGAGCTGTCGTTGAACCAAAAGAAGAACGATTTTTATCGACAGTTTACGGCACAACTAACAGCCAATAGAAACCTACACGTAAATGATGAACATGACAACTGTCCAATCACAGACGGCACATTGTTCACACAAGGACCAATCAGATGAGAGAGAAGCGGCAGCGCGCGGAAGAGGAAAGCCGTCTCCAGTCCCGACTCGAGCTTGTCAAAAAAATAAGCTAAGTTAGCAACGGTAGTTGTAGCTAGTTCGTTCCACTGTGCGATATAACAATAAAATCAACTCTCTGTGGTATACTTTAAGTAAATCTGTTGAAGTAATTAGGTACAAATCGTTAAGATAGGTACTTGTAGTCAACACTGAAGTGTGTGAATTGGTTTTAAAGTCACAGTGGATTTTAAAAGGTAAACGCGTCARGCTAAGCTAACGTTGCTGTGTTAGCAATTAGCAAGACTATRYACCTCGATTAGGTTTTAGGTAAAARTCTTAATTGTTAAAAGGGCATTAAAATTTTGAAGATAATGCACCACGTAAAGATCAAAACCGAGAGGCCAGGTAAGACCATAAATGTAAATCTATTTTGGGTTTGCAACACCTGCTCCGATAAGTCTAATTTATTTTATATTCAGAACGAGTGCACAAAAATAATGCTTTATTACTGGGCTTGTGTATAAATATTTTTCTAACAAAACMAAATGAGCTATTTTATTATTTCATGTTTTGTTTTTTTTTTAGATGTAGAGAGCACTGTTGGACGCACCAAGTTGGATGCTGTGTTAAAGGGTCTTGTGGAGAAGAGTGAAAATGAAACGTTAGTACACATTTGGTATATGCATCATTGTTTTTACTTTTAAATATTAAAAAAAATCTATCTTTCATAGAGAGCCAAGTGAGGGTGATCCAGGAAAGTTATCAGTGGACTCCCTTAATAAGTATGAACCTATTTGTTGTGTATATTTTTATCTGAATAGRAGGCACATACCTTGGTAAATAAATGAGAATTTTGCTGAAATCTCTTCCTGCGTTTCTTTCTTTCTTTTCTTTCTTTTTTTTAGGGATTTGTCTCCATCATCTGCTGGAAAGAGGTAGGTGACTTTTACAGACATATTTTTTATTTATCTTTGTTCTAATGTAAAATGGAAGGAAAACATTTGTTGTGTAGTTCAGCATAAAAATTTTCAGTCCCACACATTAGATGAAATTATGATATTTTGTACAGAAGGCATTGTGACTGTCAGACGTGCTACAAGTCTCCATCTTTGTTTTGCTTTTTCAATTTATTTTCTTCAGACCTTCAACAAGATTTCCACAGCACCGGAGGAAGAAACGAAAGGAGATGGATGAGGGCATCCCAGAGGCCAATCAGCATAAACAAAGTAAACTTGATGAAAGTGTGACTAAACATTGCGGTAAAGCTGGTTTCAACTGCGTTTCATTCACTGTTGGTTTTTTTCTTCTTCTTCTTCCTAGACGCATATGTTATTAAGCTGTTTGATCGCAGCGTTGATTTGGCCCAGTTTAACACCAGTACTCCTCTGTATCCAATCTGCCGTGCCTGGATGAGAAACAATCCTTCGGTCCGAGAGCCATTAGCTTCCCCAAGCTCCCCACACAGCATGTCAGAAGAAGAGGTGAATAAATATATATATAT